AAGAACGCGAAGCGTTTCGTTAAACCATAATTTATCAGGTGGTTGTATAGATAATAGTTTATATATTTTGGGATGGATAGTAGCACGAAATTTTTGAGTATTGTTAGTGAATTATTGACATAAAAGACAACTTCAGACTACGTTGCGCGTGAATAGTTTCAAAATCGATTTCTTGATATTTAAAATATATATGAGTGTTTTGGATAAAAATAGTACCGTTCAAATGACGTAAATGGTCCTAAGCGTTTCTCCTCTTAGACTTGATGAAACAATTTCGCATTTCTCGTATATACTCATCGATGTTAGGCCTATAATCACTGCAAATATAGCTTTTCTATCTTTAACTCTCAACGAGTTAGAAGTAAAACATCGATATCTGACCGTTATTTTGCTGTTGACTTTCTTGTGGTTCACATGGGTCACGTTTTGTAAGTTATTTACATCTGTTACTTTGTGTGGAATAATATATTTTTCTCTCTCTTTTCTAAAATTATCTTCGCTCTATTCAGCTACACCATTATTTTTGTTGCGAGTATTTTGGGTTTTCTCTCAAATTTGTTCAGAATTCGTGATTCCAAAATCCAATTTTTGTTTTGTTTCTGTAGCCACATAGTCTAGGTAGCCCTGATAAGTTATTTGGTCGTCATTTTCTTATGCCAAAAGTTGACTAAATATATAGAATACATAACAACGAATACTCGATGCTTCTATCACTTTTCGTTACCGTGCAATTCACGCTTTACTAGACGCTAAGCCAGATTTGATCGATAATTTGTCCCGTAACCACCCACAACATCACGCCTCAGCCAAATATGACAGAAAATTTCTTTTTTTATAATAAGTGTAGTCTAACAACACGATGATTCTGTAAAAATAACAAAGACTAAAATTGCTTTGTAAGGAAGTAAACTAGAAAATTTTAGGTAATGTTCTGTAACCGTTTTCTTTTCGGTTTTTTTGTCACTTTAACGTGATCCTGAGACTTGCGATTCCGTCACATTTAGATATCTTCTATTAATTGGAGTAAGATTCATTTCGGCTCATCCGTTCGCTGTGGTAAAAACGTTTAGTTAATAGCTGGAAGCCCAAAGTGAACAGAATGAGAGTTTCAGCGTTTCGACTATTTCCAGAGAAGTGACATGAGACAATTAGCACGCACATTGAATAGATAAAACGTTTCTCTTCAAAATGACGCAAGAATGAGCCTGATTCGTTCATTTCTGAGTGAGCACTGTTCATTTTACAAACAGCTCCAAAATGCAGGTTGAAAAAGCTCAAAAATCAGTCACAGCGCTTTTGCAAAAAACATTATTGAAAACACGGCAATAAGGACATAAAAATTCGCATTATGGCCAATCGAAAGAAAATTCGAAGGGGCACATTTTAGCCTATTCGATGTGGGCACAACGTATATATTCAAGCTTATACTGACGAAATACAGTTTTTCGAGCTAAATTTTTGAAAGTTCTAGTGTATTTCGATTTCTGTTCGATTAAGACGAAATTTCAAGTCTCAGGATCATCGCCTACATACCATTTTGTAGCGAATCAAATGGTGAATCTTTTGCAAGAAATAGCTGAACTTTATTATATGTATTTCAAATAGATAACATCAATTTACAAAGAGGGGTCAAAACTTTTGGATCACCTTATATCAGAATGTAGGCCACACACTACTGTATTTAGAGAGCAGAATTTGGGTTTCTGCACGATTGTTTTTGTTGCGATTGTTGCGTTGACTGATGATGAAATGTGTACATTTCGAAACGTCACATTGTGTATAATGATAAATTAGAATGACTAGACTTAAAGCTACTGTAAATTGTATCATATCTTGATACAGAATTTTCAAGAACAACAAGTTTAAATATATCAACAAATCTCATGAAGATCTTGGTCAAGATTTACTACGGATCAGAGTCTGATATATCTTCAAAATTTTGTATCAACATCTTGAAAAGATTTAAGAACTTTTCTGAACACATTAATATAATTACTGCTATCTGTCCCAGAATACAAAGCCATCTGTTACTTTCTGGATAACTTTTGATAGACGATAGATAGAGACCTGCGGTCTTCAGTTTTGGAAACTAGACACCTGACCGCATATTTTCGTAAGCAAAAACGAATTTCAGAAAAATTTCCGAAGCCGGTTTTTCAGCAGATCTTTGGAAAACCAGTTCAGATCTCCGGAAACTAACATAGCAATCTATCAGTTTGTTTTCATAGATAGTTAATCGAAAGTATCCTCTCCAAAATGGAAACTAAGTGAATTCTTAGTTTTTCGTGGTTTAGGCGTGGCATCAGATTCCCTGAGAGTCCCAGGGTCACTATTTCTTTAGATGTGCTAATTCTGATAACGAATGGAAACATACGTGATCGACTACGCTGAATCTTGTGGCAACATTTGTTTTTCAAAAACGTTCCCAGAGGTGCAGAATCTACCCGTTTGCGCCGACGGCCGTCGGGGGAAAAAAAGTTTTTCGGTGAAATTTTGTAAGGTTGTGGAAAAACGAAGAATTATGTTAGCTTTAACGACTATCTCCTTTTTTATGCTCTTTCAAAAACTAACTATTCTCAGTTGTATTAAAACGTTTACGTCAAGAAAGTACCAGAACCAGACATGTGTGATTAAACAGAAACAGTAGTTTTAGCGACAATAAACTCGCATTGTTTTGGTTTGTGTTTTATTTCGTGCCGGGGAAATTTTATTACAATCTTTTACTGTCGGGGGAAATTTCCTAATCTCACGGGTAGATTCTGCACTTCTGAACGTTCCAAATACCTAGTAAAAACCTATATTAGGTGAGATAACCTACTTTTGGCTATTTTTGAGTAAAATTAAAAGATGCATAACCCAGTCAAGATCTATTCACATTATGTCAGGATATCAAGATATACTCTGTTTTATCTGCTCAATACGATACAGTTCAATAAAAGCTTTAAAAATTAACACAAAATACTTTGGTTTTTGAAAAGGTATTCTAGAAATCTTCCGAAGTACAACAATATGTTTTACTATCCTTAAGTAAAAGAATGAGGTGAGCCGATAAAATAGAGTATATCTTGATATCCTGACATAATGTGAATGGATCTTGACTGCGTTAACAAAATGGATCAAACAAAATGCATATGATTTCATTTTCCATCGGACTTTTCTGAGGTGGAAAAAATCAAACTTTATGAAAAAAATCATGTTTTTGAAAGTGAAAATTGTAAACATTTCGATTTTTTCCACATCATAGTCAACGTTTTGAAAGTGACAAAGTAGTGGGTTTTTGCACTCTGTCGAATGAGCTGTTGTTCAAAAAGAATTGATGAGAGGTTTTAAATACACGGTCAAAATACAAAAGAGGTCACTTTCTCAAATTTGTTGAGGTGTCTTGAGCAAAACGTCGATTTAGCTATTTTCCCTCAGACCTCGTCCGATAAAACCCGTAGTACCACAAAATTCGTAGACAAAAAAGTTTTTTTTCCAAGTGGGTCGTAGATTATTGACTACTCTGATTCCAAATATCATCATGCCAGCTACTCTTGGGTTTTCAGAGAGCGGTTTTCTAGAAACCAGTTTTTCGCAAACTCTAAAAAATAATCAAAACCTTTTCTTAATGAGTTAGGATTGTAGCCCGTAAATTTCTGATTAAAATGAGACATCTCCCAGCTCTTCGTTGCAAAGTTATAGAATTTACAAGAGAAGGCCTGAATGTTCATTGTTAGCTCAAAGCTACAGAAATAAGGAAAAAACTAATGTAGGCCTTCTATTGTAAATTCCATAACTTTGTAATGAAAGGTCTCCTGGAGCTGGGGGATGTCTCATTTTAATCAGAAATTTACGGGCTACAATCCTAAGTCATTAAGAAAAGGTTTTGATTATTTTTTAGAGTTTCCGAAAAACTGGTTTTCCAGAAAACCGCTCTCTAAAAAGCTAAGGGAAGCTGGCATGGTGATATTCGGGATAAGGGTAGTTAATATTCTGTGATGCACTTGAAAAAAAATAATTTTTTGTCGACTAATTTTGAGGAGTCTGGATCACTTGGCCGACAGGTACACTTTGCCGACAACTCATTTTGCCAACTAAAATTTGTTCATATGTTAGTCTACTAAATCTAAGGCTACAAATATTAGGAACTGAAAATTTTTCTTATGGGCTATGTCATAAGCGGCAAATTTTTCCTACTACACATTGGGTATTCATATATCAACTACTTTTCGAACTCACTCTCACACTGCCCTCACCCCCTCATCTCCCACTACACACCACCAGAAATACTCAGTCTGTACTTTGAAAAAATAAAAATCAATATAAAAATAAAATATTTTATACACACAATTTTTTGAACTTCAAATTTTTGTCGGCGAAACGAGTTGTCGGCAAAGTGTACATGTCAGCCAAATGGTGTCGGCCAAGCGATGCGTCGGGAAAGTGATTGTCGGCCAAGTGAATGCGACTCAGTTTGAGGTACTACGGGTTTTACCGGACGAGGTCTGCCGGGAAAACCTCTTCGGAAAAATTTACTTTCTACATGGAGAAACGTCCCACGAGCTGCTCTTTCCAATGGTGAAAACTGCAGGTCTCTAGGTCTTTTCATTCCGGAGTTATAAGCGTTTTGCTCACTCATCTTATTTTCAGAAATATATAATAACTAGTATAACAATGAAGTTCACATACAGAGAGGAGGAGAAAGCATACATTAATTTCTTCTATTAAGCTTTCAGAAAACGTTCTTAAAATCCCTCAAAAATCGTTGATGAAGGTATCTGTTTCATCGATACCTTCAACTATACAATGATATGCTTAATTCTATATCGATCATTTTGAGAAATTTTGTATTTTGGACAGGAGGGAAGCCTTAAAAAATGCGGATTCCATTGAGGTTGTGATATTTTAGCTTAACTGCCCTAATAATTACTAATCTGACATCTGGATTTGAAATAGAGCAGAATCTTCCGTTACCCACCACAACAATACCATTGCGCAATTTTACTGAGTTAAATCAGGCAATGACAATAAAGACGGTGAGTGATTTATGTCGTCGATATTCGACAGTTTCTCATCTTGATCCATCGACGAGTGAAGGCAACACAATGGGTTTCATGTATTGGCAGTTGAACGACATTTGGCAAGCACCAACATGGGCGTCAATTGAATATGGCGGTAAATGGAAAATGTCACATTACTATGCGAAACAGATGTATCAATCAACCTATGTTTTACCCGTTCTTGTACCAAAAGTCGAAGTGAACATTTCTCTATAAGTGAAAACTGTATGTCTCTGTCACCACTTGTTCTCGAGTTATTCGAAAAACAGCCACGTACACTCTGTTTTCAAATGCATAGTAGTGTTTGATCTATTTATAATATTAATCTTGTGGTCATACGAATACCCATATGTTACCTTTCAAGGGTCCTGCATTTGCTCCTATCGGCATTACCGGTGACATTTATCTACTCGCGGATGATGGAAAGGACGACGTTGCCTTCGAGATTGTTAATCTCAATGTGATGAAATCACACAACGATAATTTTATAGCTGAATTGTAACCTCAATTCCAGTTTCATATATAGCAGTTCGAACTTTTGTTCTTTTGTCATAAAATTTATTCAATGACTTTTGTTGCAATTATTTCATAATCACCAGCTTTTGTAGCCAACTTTTCTAGTTCTATCGTCTACACTTCAAAGCATTGAGTATTATCATTAGCAAAAGATCTGATTGCCTTTTTAAATCAAATAAAAACTTATCTACATTTGATTCATCTTTAACAAGCTGTAACTGATCGTCTGCCATCTTATTTCCTTTTCGTCATTTATGTGACTCAAAAAATAAAGCTAATATCAGCATTTTCAATCGATTCGATTGCAAGTAGATAAATGTCTATACTTGTGGGTATTTATGTGTATAGTTTTCGTCATTTTTTGTTTGACCAGCTAATTAACCAATGAAATAATGAAAATAATATTGTCACTCTTTGACAGAAAGAAAAGGTTTAGAAACATATGAATGAAATTAGCCAAATGAGTAAAGAAGGTAAAAATAACCCCCATATTTAGTTATTTATAAGTGCATGAAAATGTGCAACAATGCGAATTCATTGTCATTGCATTCTGTAGTCTTCTTAAGTAGAAAAGTAAAAAAGGAAATAAACACAAAGGAGAACGAAAGTTTGTTTTTAATCTGAAAATAGAAACGTTATTTCGTTCACCGACATAGCAAAAAAAAGCATATTATCATTATAGAATTCTTTCTTTCTGCTGTGTAAATTGAAAAGAAAATACAACAATGAACTTTTAACAAAAAACAAAAAAAAAAAATTGAGAAAATATCTGGTGAAGAACAAAACACATAAAGGAGAAAACTATGGGTGCAAAAAATACTTTTGTTTATAAAGTCCAATACGTTGTATATGCGTTAGTTGATTATTCAGTTCAATTTAATTGGTTGTTTTGACTAAAATGACAAGGGAAATACCATTAATGAAAATCTTACAGTCTGAAATATGGAATTTGCATATGCTTTTCGGCTTCTTTGTACTAGTACCAAGTAAAAATTAGTTAACATCGGTAAGAAACTTACTTTTACGGTCATTTCATTTCGACTAAAAAGTTGCCTAGATCTGTACGATCCCCAATGTCAATATTTTTATAATTATCTGTTCGATCTTGATTCCAGCAATCATACGTTTTCATATTTTGAACACAAGTAAAGCATTTTTAGCCCTTTGCAAGTGATTCATTACCCGTTAAGTGTCGTATACATATAAGAACATCTATGTGAGCCAACAGACTGTTTTAAAGAAACGAGCTACATAGTCGCCATTTCCATTACTAAAAACCTTTCTGCATTTAATAGCACACCACCGACAGAAAACTAAAGTTCGTGCGAAGTCGCTGAAAAGTGCTCTTTTTTGTTTTCAGCACACTTGATAACCTAGAAGATTTTCTATTCTGGACGAGGAGTACTGCCAAGAGTTTAAGAAAACAGTCCAAACAAAATGATGAGAATAAACTTTCATGGAAAATAATATTAGTTTCGAGTGAACCCGGTGAGAAAATCGGGTAAAACATGGTGAAATCAGTGACCGATGAATTGGCTTCGACCGATAAAGTTGTCCTAAATCAGTTTTCATAGCTGATTCAGAAAAATATAGCTCGAACTTTCAAACTAGTAATACAAGGTCAAAAAGTAAAATTTATGATGGAGGTCGTTTTTTCGGATTTTTGACACGTTCGAGTATTTTCAAATTTTCTCTATGAGAAAACAGCTTTTAAGGACTGAAAGGGTGGTATTCGTGATCAGCATGAAAAAAAATCAGAATAGGTATAATAAAGTCAAAAACAAATTTCACTCGAAGTTTGAATTATTTACATCTCACCAACTCATACGCATTATCATGAGATTCTATCGAAGAAATTAAAGAACAGAAAAACTCTCAGGCGAACGACAGAAGCAAGCATCTGAAAAGTTGAACTCCGCTATCAGAAATGTCAGAAATTAAACTTCTCACGTTTCATCTGCTGGTACCAGCTTCATACGATGTGATCTTCAATCCGTTAATTAGTGAGAAAATTGCTCATTTTTGATAATTGGCATTTCTCACCGTGAAGGGGGCATCTGGAGAATTAGATTCCGCTTTCAGAAATGTCAGAAATTACATTTCACACATTTTATTTGCTGGCACCAACTTTGTGAAGTTTATTTTGATCGGGTGAGATGCCAAAATGTCTGGGATGGAAAAAGGTTGAAAAAGTCTACACGCCTTTGATATTCCCTTGACTGAAAGTCTAGGATCGTAAGAACGAAATATCCGTCCGTCCGTCAGCAGTAGACGAGTGACATCTTCGTTCACGCCCACCCCGAACACTAGCTGTATCTAACATTCGTCTTAGGGGCGTCCTTCTCCTATTGCATACATTATGAACTATTAATAGTGACTAAAATTCCAAAAAATATTTCAGGTTATCACAATAAAAAGCTATGGATGCAGCTAATCGATCGATCGTCTGGCACACTTCTCGGTATATCTATATGCATCGGTTCGCTGAGAGTATGCTCTCAGCGAACCGATGCATATAGATATTGTTTCAGTACTTTGAGACCCATGCCACAATACCTGGAAATACAACTTGCTGCTAAGGCCTTTTGACTAACCGCTAGTCGAAAACGGACTTTCAGTTAAAGCTCAGTGAATCGCAGATGAACGTTACTTATTATATTGGATAGGATAGGTCATTTCCTCTGTGTACGGAATGATATCCCATATTAGTGATACTGCATCGCCATTTAGTGGTGATTTATGATCTTTAAGCATAATATGATTAGATATGCTTGGATCTTAATCTAAATATGCATATGAATCTACTACATTAAGCGGTATTATCCCATCTGGTTGGCATTTAAATAATTCATTTATTTGATTTTGGTTCAAAATTGTTTTTATTTGAATATAAATGGTTATTGTGTAAAACATTAGACAAATCATATCAAAACTATACGTAACATCCCAGGGGTAAAAAGCTTGACAAAAATCCGCGTTTTCTTTGGTTCTAACGTATATAAAAATAAATAAAAATAGTCAAGCTATTTAGTAGCTAGTAAATTGTTGAGGAAGAGAGTGGGAATTTTTCTGCAGAGTAATCACGGATCAGATATAATAAACATATTTTTGTTTGTGCAGTTGCAGATAATCAGGTACTCTCTTTCTGAATCTCAAGGTATCACACATAATGTCCATGTGCAACCTATGTAAATGCTACTTTATGTGCCTGAACCCGTTGAAAATCGTAGTGCTGAATTTTGTTGTGTACGGATGCGCACATGTAGCTAGAAAAAAAAGCTACAATAGAATAGAATGTATGTGATTACCCGATAAAAGCTCAACTAAGTTATATCAAGTTTATTTCTGTTAAGAGCCAATAATTTTAAGAGAATATATCTTTTTATTACAGCAACAATCGTAATAATTTTAATTTAGTTTATACAATAATCATGTGTAAATTCTTGATAATGGTTACATGAGTAACCGAAACGAATATTTTAATTAAATAAAAACTATTATGTATTTTCATTCAATGTATTTGTATTCAAAATTGTTTTTATTTGCATGTAAATGGTTATTGTGTAAAACATGAGACAAATCATATCAAAACAATACATAACATGCCAGGGGTAAAAAACTTGACAAAAATCCGCGTTTTCTTTCGTTCTCATGACCAAAAAACGAGTTAACGACCACCAATGTCTACACATGTGCCGCACTACATTCACACATGCACAAATCGATGCGCATTGATGAGTTCTTTCGACCGGTATATGACGCTTGTCCTTTTCATTTAAGAAATAACGTTTTCTTTCGTCAAAAGGCTAAGGATTTCCATAACTCTGTAAAACCGCCTGATTCACGGGCGCCAATGCATCAAGTGTAGGCAAAATATTACATGCATAGACAATCGACATTTCTCTAACGAATGCAAGTCTCTGAATGTTTTTCTATTTAACGTGAATTGTTTTTCTAAGGGTACAGTGCCATTGCACACTCATATGTTACCGATGACAATTGTTCACTGATTCGCCATGTTCCGTTAAATTTTTAAGAGAATTTATTTTGAGGCTCTGTTATTCTAATAAAGACTTAACGATTAAATTTGTAACTTGGATTCGACCGATTTTGTCGTACCTCAGTTGTCATGATTGTTATGCGTGATGAATTATCGGTCTGAGAATTCGGCTGCATTCATGAATCGTTGTAATTCGAGAAAATAATTATATGATCGAGATCATTGATTTTTTATGTCCGGTGTTATACGTGTACGTCTCTATAGGAAGATGTATATCGCAATTCGCTTTTTTCTTCTACTTAAGACTTTCAAATCTATGAACACGATATTTGCACCAATCTTTCGAGCGGCTAAGGCACTCTAACAAATCTTTATACTGGTCTTCTATATCGGCTGTACACACAATATTATACAGCAATGTGCCAATCACAATTCCTTCATTTTTTCTTGGTGTTATACAAAGAAAGTCTATTGCTTCCTTGGTGTCTTTTTTGCAACCTAACTTTTGAGCGATAGGTGCCATTGCACGAAGTGAAGCGCGAACATAAGGTACAGAATAAGAATATCTGGAATCAGGAACAAAAATCCCATCAATATTGTGGTTTGCTTGTAGCCACTTTAAAATTGTTTCGCGTGGCATTTCCGTTTTGATAAGCCTGATATGCAAATAAAAATCTTGGTATATCTGGTGATAGAATTTTAATGCGTTGGAACTCTGAATTTGCTGTTTTAATTGTTGCTGAAGTGATCGTACGTTTTACTTCTAAAACAGCATGAACAATTGAAGAATTAATTGGGGCTAATTCCATGTCAGCTTTTGATAGACCCCCCGTCGGTGAACAAACAATTACTTCATGTTCATTGCTTTCTTGCGTTTTGACTTTGACTTTTTGTTTCAAATAACGTAACTTAGGAGAACGAGAATATGTTAAATTTTGGAGAGCTCGTTTTAATTTTACTTCTAGCGGAACTTCTGTTTTGCTTTTGGTGCGATCACTTGTCTCGTCTGATTTTGATAACGCTTTAATGAGATCTGTTTCTTCGTTTATGAAAGACTATGGAATATTAATATCTGCGTTTTCTGACGATAGTGATAGAATTTCTGACCCAAATTTATTGAGTAAATTAATGAGATCTGCTTTTGTCTTGAGTTCATCTTGGTTCTCTTCGCTTGCAACAGGAAGACGGACCATAAATCGGACACTGAGTACCAAAAAGTTGTTTGTAGAGGATGGAGGCGCAGCCATGTTACTCTTGAGTATCTGTAAAAAACAGATGCTATTTTCACAGAAATATAAAAAACAAATCTTTTCTTAGTCATGGATACTGCTATTATACCGCATTTGCTATTTAGCAAAAATATACTAAAACTGAATGTACTCCTCATATAGTATTAAGCTCATCATTTCGAAAACTGTCTTAGCATACCATTAGAAGCCTTTAGTTGAGATAATGTCTTCTTTGGATTGTTGGAAAAAGCACAATCTTGGTTTCAAAGTTTTAAACTCTTATAGAACAAATATAAATATATCGAGTTCTTCTCTTTACATCAGCAAGCATGTAAAAAATGGATTGTGCGCTTCATAAACAAATTGACAATTCTTCCTAATTTTTGTTTTGCTAACAACTTTTAATTAACTATGGCATCAGCCGTGGTTTTTTTACGAAGGAAAATCAAAATTCCTGCGGAACAAAAGGAATTTTTTCGTTTCGGCTTACGATCACTAGCTGACTGAGAAAAACATTTACTTACTCTCAGCATTCATAATAATTCATAACAATTTTCTCGACTATTTTTTAATCTATTAGTTGATTAAGATTTACAAGAATTTGGGAAAAATTTACGGAAACTAATTAATATTAATCAATAAACAGATTTGATTGCTAAGTGCATTCGTTGTCGTAAAGATGACAGTATACATGACGACCGCAATCAGAGCTTGACTCTAATATAGTTGTTTGCTCTTCTAAAAACCTCACAAATCGCACATTGGACATTTAGGCTGCGTTTTCTGAAAAAATCGTAGGTGCGAATATTTTTGTTTTGAATAGTGGTGTATATAGTATAAACAATTCCCTATTTAATGATAAAAAAAATTTTGTTCTAGCTCCTTCCAAAGCTGAGAAAACTGGATTACAAAATTACCATTAGAATTAGCCCGTTGGTACTTAAAATTGCATTTTCTCCATCAAAGGCTAAATTTTTTCAAACAAAAATCACATTTTTAAAATCGTCAGGTGTTGCGCTTTCTAGACCTAAAAAAACATTTTGACTAGTACATTAAATTTTTGTGAAGGCGCGAAGATCTTTCCAGAAACCCGTCAGATAAAAAAGGTGTTCTCACAAAAATGCAGTCGCTCAAGTCCTCTCACTAGCTATCGACATCAAAAATAGCTCAAAATGTTCGTCTACACTTGCTCTATCTACACTGAATTCGCAAAGTTTCGCAAGTCTAAGGGTGCTTCGTTCCAGTCCACTTCTTATGTCCAGGTACTTCGTTCCAGGCTTTCTAAAAACCCTAAGGATTTTGGAGTATTTCGCAGCTTTCTCCCTTGAGAAAGTACTGTTGCTTGAAAATAAGGTTATATTCGGAATCAGCATGAAAAACTGCATCTAATGGTATATAAGCTAGCCGCCTTCGGCAAAGTATTGCTCAGTTTCTAAAAGTCGGACATTTGTGAGCATTTTTGTTAGAAGTTTGATATCGATTT